CCTCCCCCTCCTTCTCCTCCCCTCCCACCCACATCTCGTCCGCAGCATCCAAGTCCAATGCCACGCTGGGGCAAGGAAGGAGTGATCGGTGGAAAGGAGGAAAACCGAAAAAAGCAAAAGCATGGAAGAAAGTAGAAATAAGAGAAGCAAACAAAAACCTCCATCAGAAGATGGAGGTTTTTGTTTGCTTCTCTTGTTCCTACTTTCTTCAAGGACACCCGCCGTTGGCACAAAAAATTTTTTGCAGGTCGTGTATGAGATGGGCCGAGTCGAGTTTTTATGCGTTTTTTCCGTGCAGCGCTATAGCAGCACGGCAAAAACGCATAAAAACTCGCTATAGCGCTGCTACAGCCAGCAAAAACGCATATTGTCGAGAGGCTGTCTGTGTGTGTGTTTGGAAAGCGAGTGCATTTTGTCACCCACTTTCAACTCGGCAACCAGGAAAGCTGGGAGGCTGAAACTTTGGATATATGTTCCTACCCCGCGTGTCATCCTCCCGTTTTAAGATCTTCCCCCATGCGCGCCTAAACCCCGCGTACAGGACCCCCAAAAGAAATATGTTGGCGGGAAACGATTTCGCGAACCAGGCAACGTAGAAAGCTGAAACTTTGCAGGGATATTCTCTTATGCACGTGCGAGATAAAAATTTTAAACTCAGCCCTCTAGCTCCCCAACCACAGCCTCAAGCAGTTCCTGAACCCAAAAATCGTTAGCAACTCGGATCTGAACCGTAATTGTACATACAAATGAACGTGCATTTTTAGTAATTCGGACCTGAACCGCCAATTGTATATGTAAATGAACATGGATTTTTTGGAAAAGGACCGCTCAAGCAATACTTTCAATTTTCCAACGAATTGAAAATTTGCATGCTTTCAAAAATTCGTTCGCTGCCCAAACCTGAACCGCAATCGTAACGTGAACCTGCTATATGGTATATCTCCCACGCAACCCCAAATCCAGTCATGCTCCTAGAAATAAACATAAAAGAGATGCACACACTCCCCTTCTTAGCAACATAACAAGCATAACAGCTAAACAAGTAGGATCGATCGCACGCAGAACACGACAAAAACACATACGACCCGCTGTGCAACTGAACATCGAACGGCGATAATTCATATGGTTGCTGTGTGTATTACCGACGAACCTGAATGTCGGTGCTTGATTACAGCCGTG